AGACAGAACATTTTTTTAACACTTTGACAAGAGGGGAGGCGATCTCGTCTCCATCATGTCTTTCTGCTTCAGTAGCTTCCTCAAGGAAACCCTCTTGGAACAGAGAAGCATCTGTCCTTGTATTTTGAATAGAAGAATAAAAATCAGCCTTTGCTTTTGTTTTTCTTCTTTTTTTTCCTGCTAGTTCTAAGTCTTCAATAGATATAAATTATTAACCTCTCAGTATAAACTTGTCTTAAAGTCTAATTTTATAGAATTTGACATACAGCCCAAATACATTTAAAGTAGTTTCCAAGCACAATCTTCAAATTTTGGGGGGAGGAGCCTCAGAAGGGAACTGCCCAAGTCTACATAATTATGGAATCATTTTTAAACTAGGTATCAGACATCTCTACCATCTCTTTCTAAGAAAAAAAGTTCCTCTTATATAAACTTTTGCCTTAAATAGAACAAAGTGTACATGCATCTTTACTCATTAGAACTATACAATTCTCCTTTGCAGCTGTAACAACCCCTTTCAAAACCTGACACGTTAGTTATCTCAGCATATATGTGTCAATTTCCTCTCATCCCACCTTTCATGATAAGGAAAAACAAAAACAAAAACAAAGTTAGATTCAATAAGTATTCCTGACCTTTCTGGTTTTTACTGTCTCTTGGTTGTAGTCTTTCATCTCACACGCTCCCCGGCGATCTTGAAGGAGTTTTTACTTTCGGTTATCTAGCTTTATGAAGACCAATACACTCATACAGCTAGATAACCAAAGATAACAACTCGCTTCCCTCACATGCCTCTGTCTTCCTCTTGCCAGACTCCAGATCCCGGTTCTCTCCGGCAGTACTGAAGAGTAGTCGTCCAGGATACTTGCCGTGCCCAAGATTCCTCCTTTGATGTAAATATGACCTGGTTTCTGTTTGTGTATGTGCGGCTAAAACATCCAAATAAGATCTGTTGCCTTCTGAGTTTATTCCGAACTTTTTTCCCCTTCCAGCAAGTAATCTCCGGCAGCGTCAGCAAACAATTCATCTATTAATATCAGAAAATAAAACCAGCTATTAAGGCGCAGCAAGCTGTTGGGAGTGAGTAGCGGCATCCATCCCTTCACAGGCCTCTATTTGCATTGTAAATCGCTTCATTCTCACGCAAGACTCTTTGGCCTTCCTCTATAAAGATGTATAAAGCCAACTGCAATTTCCAGCGCAGGTTAAGGAGGAAGGAAAAAAATATCCCATTCTATAGAAGTGACAGCTGATTCAAGGATCTGCTCCCGATCCTTTTGGGTTAGGCATCGTGAGTTTTTACCAAGCGGTGGCAGCTTGATTGCACATATCTTGTATGTTAGTGTTTTAGGGGGAAGATCCTCGATTTCACAGGGCTTCTAGGCTGGGGAGGAGAAGATGCCCGTCTTGCTGGTGTGCTGCTGCCCCCGGTCTGAAAGAAGGAGAAAAGGGCCATCATTGGAGGGGCTTTCATTGCCAAATCGTTGACCAGCCCGGCAAGGTCAAAGGTTCGAGACCGCGGGAGACCAAGGTAATGATGATGTCATGAGAAATCTCAAGTACATGGTTATTGATATGCATCAGTGATCAGCCAACTGCCCCACGCCTGCTGCCAGAGTAGTGGCAGCAGCAGCGGCGGCGGCAGTGGCGGCGGCGGCGGCAGCAGCAGCAGCAGCAGCAGCAGCAGCATCATTGCAACAAGCCCTATTTTCTCAATCAACATTTCTTCCGCTAGCACTACAGACTGCTCCTGGAAAAGCAACCCGCGGCCTTTTACCTCCTCGGTGCTAGTGTAGATCGTTCTAATATCCAAAGACTGGAAGAAATCTCTCTCTAAGGACAGATAAAAGCATTTCAGGTCTGGGGAACGTCTTTGCCTGCATTTCTCTTCTGGCAGATTGCATAGGCAGACAGATGGAAGGCACTTTGCTATTGCTTAAAGAAGGGCCTCGCTTTCTGGGGCTGGGAATCAGATCAGTATTACGCAGTGAGTCGATGTGTGATTACATTGACAATTTGCTCTGGTGTTGTGTTTTTAATGGCTTCACAGCTCAGTCATGTTTTGTATCTGAGTACCATGGCGATAGGGCATGGTATTTTGTTCTATAAGTTCAAACTGAATTGCTCTAAGCAGGTGGACTTCATCCTGGTTTTTAGAAAATGACTGCATAAATAGGATATGTGTGCTAAAAGGCAGCACAGGTAAACATTGCAGCAATAGTTTCTAATGTTGCACATAGCTCTGCTGTAATAAAAATACTCAACCTTTGTCTATTGTTTTAAGCATCAATTCTCATACAGAAGGACAAATGCACTAGTTTTGCTTTTGCTTTTGAAACTATGAAAAAAGTATTGTTCCCTCTTGGAAAATACAGATAAAACACCTGGATGTTAATAGCATAATTTTACCCTCACCTTCTCTTTCTTCACTCCCACCTTTCTCCTACCTAGAGGGGAATTAATTAGCCTCAATCCTTTCCTTAGAACTTTCCAAAGTGTGAATATGATCACTTCAAGGAATTCTTTTCTTCTCTTTTCTTCCTAATGGGTCATCTATGTCTAGCACATCTATAATATGTATATTAGTATATGTACAGAACTATAGTTCTAATATTCAGATATCAATTAATAAAACATCCAAAGCAGTCTACATAAGAGGCATATTCACCATGGGTGAACTTTATGGACTGTTTTTCAGAATTCAAGTTAAGTTTGGTGTTGTTACCATTCTTAAAACATATGCTACAAGAATGTAATGAATCTTAATACACATTGCACATATCACTAGTTTATCACAATGTCCTCATTTCTATAGGTTGACTATTTTCCCTAATAATTCAAACATTTTCAGAATTAACATTGACTCCTTCGTTAATTCAGTAATCTATTCATATAAGACTAGAGTGTGAAGGTGCTTATCCAAATACATACAGAGAACACATGTGTACACCTGTAGAAAAGACTGAAGAGAAGACCAGAATTGTTAGGAAAAGCACCCCATGAAGAGTTTAAACAATAATATCACACCAATTAAAGATATGATTTAATAACACAGATGCCAGCTTTCCTTATATTTTTATTTATTTACTTTTGTGGTGAGTATTCTAGTGTTGATTATTTAGAAAACACTAAGCTGTCGACATTGCTCATGTATATTATCAAATTATGGATCAAGAGGTAAGACCAGAAATGGCTGCATTAGGTTATATATAAAGCACATGTGCAAACTACAAAATAATTCAGAGAAACACAATCCTGGAACGGCCATTTCATCTCAAATTACTTGGTCACAACATACACTACTGAATAAAAAGTTAACACATCACTGAGGAACAAGCCTCTTTTGATATTATGTAAAACCCTAATGAGCTTTGAAGCCTTGGAATATTGAAGAGTATTGTGGCCTTGCATTCCAAGATCCAGAAGTGAAATCATTAGTGATTTGGCATGTATTACATAAAGCAAGCATGTGATCAAGTGTGTTCAATTCCTTAAGTCAAAACCCAATAAATTCCAGCTAATTTTATATTATCTTTTTGTTTTAAGTAAACCTTGGTGGGGACTGATGGAAGTAGAAGCATATGATGTATGCATGTCTGTAGTGTGTGTGTGCATGTTAACTCCATGTTTGTGTGAATTTGCAAATTATTATGGCTATATTGCAACACTTGATTATTAAACTCATTTTTAGAACCAAAGTACTAATCGTTGTGCCAAAACACAACATTTCACATTCTTCTACGATTAGAAGTTACAGAAGATACTGCCTTAAATAGCATCTTCTAGGGCAACATCACATAGTAAAATCAACTTCCTCCAGCACTGGCCTCCAATCCTGGTACACATACCATAGATCCATTATGGGAGGTTCAATAAGTGAAATGAACCAACATCAAGACTATAAACAGCCTGTTCATTAGCCATATAACCAGCTAAATATTTTACCTTTACATTATTTCTCATGGTAGGGAGAAGTAAAACAAAATATATAGAAGGGCTTAACATTGAGCATTTGATTTTTTCAATTTTGTCAATGTTTATGCCATGGTTTACCATATGTATTTTAAAGGCTGGATGATTATAGAAAGGGAAACAACTTAAAACAATGTGCACTCTAAAGATTCCTAGCAATGTCTGTCACATGTTGTTAAGAGCAACTGTTAACACCTTCATGTTTTTAAATCAGACATTTTTGTTTTCAAAGAGCTATTGAGTACAGAATACTCATTTTGAAATCTACATATTGAAGGATATACTGAATTCAAATGGCTTGCCTATTCATTCTCTAATAAATTCCCATTAATAGCTAGTAGATTAGGACGTGATTGTCATGCTTGTTTTCTAATCTTTTTATAGATCTCCAGATGGCTGAAACATGAATTGAAACATCCTGTTTTACTTGGGAATAAACAATCTCTGCTTAAGTTTAAACTAAAAAGTTATGATTTTGCATGTATCTGGATCAGTATTATGCTATTCCATAAATTCAGATACATCAGTTGGCCACCAATATTAGAACATCTCTGATATTGAATAGAATATCTATTCATACCACTGCATAGTACATAAAGTAGTGGCCTACCACCAAATCCCTTTAAAATACTTGGTTTGTATGATTCTTATGTATGTAACCCACAGTCCCCTAACACAGCCAAGACTACCATTTTTTTATAAAGTCATTTAATTTACACCCACTTGTGTAGTTCACATAAGGTTTCTGACTGCCTTACTTTCTAATAAAAGTACTATATTATTTCTTCTGTAACCCAAATTTCTCTTTATAGGCAGTTACAGATTATGCTAGTGTTATGCTTGATATATGATATACAAAGGCTCCTTACAGGGGAAAGAATTGAACATACAGAAACTTAGATTTTCTGGAATTCTATCTATTGCATTGGGAGATATGCAATACACTGCAGGCCTGACATCAGTAAATTATATTCTGTTTTGATTTTGTACATCACTTTCATTTTCTGGAATGTAAATTTTAGAATTACCTTTGGTTGGTTAGATAGTCTATTCATTTTATGCTTCTTTGCAGTCTCATCTGAAAAACAGTCAAGAAAACAAATGATCACAGTTTATATATATGTATATACACATACAAATATATATACATATATATAATCATATCTAGATATGGCTTCATTTAAAGTATTGCAATTACCATGAATCCTTAAAATGCCAAGAGAGTCCATAAAATCCCAGTACAGTGTAACCAGGGCCTCAGCATCCACAGGGTTAAATATGCTAATTTGCATTTAAATGGAGACATGCATGATAATGGGAATGCAAAATATGCAGAATCTGGAGGGGTTTAGGAAATTATTTTTTTCTTTCTCCTTTTATTTTTTAACTTGGAAGAGAGACTTAAGAAACATGAAGGATTTGAACCTTGCAATCTGCCATACAAAAAAGGAGAGAGAGTCCTTCTATGTAAAGATTTTAATACTAGACTACAATCTTATTTTCTAAATGTTTGAGGGATTGAATTCCAGGCCTTTCAAACAATAGGAATCCCTGGATAAATGTCTAATCCATTAGAAAGATGCAAATAGTTTACTGTAAAGCCACAGAACAGTGAGATGTGCATTCATATCTACGGTTCCTGATTGGCTCTTTCCTTCAGTAAATCAATGAATAATGTAAAATCTGATTGCTGTAAAGTGGTGGATTTTTAAAATTCCCTTCTCCCATCCCCCCAAGATCCAATATTCAGGAAGTCTTACACGCTTGAATATAGGTTGCTTTTATTATTTTTTAAATGCTTATTGTAGTCTGGATTGGAGGGGTGGGGCTATTGGTTTTGCAAAATGAAAGTACTGCACTAGTTCAATGATGTTGACTCTAGTAGCTCATTCCTGAAACAGAACCCTAATTACTGGTGCCAAGGTGGAGAAGGAGGGTGGCAGGTAAATGTGGCACCAGGAGTGGGAGGAAACTGAATCCGACCCCGTAGTTCTGGGCCCAAGGCAGCCAGAGCTCCAAAGAGGCCCCCCAGCCGTGGCCGTGACTTGACAGGGCCTCCGGTCTAACTTCTGATCAATTCCACCGCTGCCCTGACCCCTCGAGACAGTCCCCCATTCAAGCACTGCGGGTACATTTGCAAGAGAAAACGCCGCAGACTCTAAAGCAAACACATTGCTTAGGTTCCCAGCGCCCTGGGTTTCCGCAGATAATTCCAGGCCACGGGAAGGAGGTCTTGCCTTCCCCAGCTGGATCTGGGCCCTGGGCAAACCGCTAAGACCTTGCTTCGCTAGGATGCCAGAAGCGTCAGAAGGAACCGCTCCAAGTCCCAATAACTAACCACGAAGGTTGCATCTTGATGAAGCTGAACTTGGGATAACCCTGCAAAGCGGCCTTTCGCCTCCCCAAATCCAAAAGGCAAAAAGAAAAAGGAAGAGGAAAGCCGTAAAATCGAATTAGCTACTGTACTCAAGTTTTCCAACAGGATAGAAATCAGACCCTGGCTTCACTGCCGGGTAATTGCAACTTTGGGGCGTTAAAAGGAGGCGAATTATTCAACATGCGAACCCGGAATCCAGGAACGCAAAATACAATCGTATTTCTCTATAGACTGAAGAGGGCAACGTCCCATCACCACACACACAAAATTACGTACAAATTTCCCTTTTACAATGTGAAATGTTCCTGGCATCTTTCTGCAATTGGGAGTCAGACTCGTGGATAATTAACCATCCTGGCTCAGACAACTCATAAGATCAACAGGTTTGGCATCAGAGGCACACAATCAATTAGCTGAAGCAAAGGCCCGGACTGGCGCTCGGAGCGGCCGGCGGCGGCCTCTGCGGGCACCGGCTAGCGGGCGAGGTGAGGAGTGCGGACTCTGGGCCGCGGCGGGCACTGCTGACACCGCGGGCGGAGCTGCAGCCTGAGGGCCGCCTTGATACTCACTTGATCTCCCTGTGCCAGGCAGTGTTGCCCCTCAAATCCAGCCGGACAGAAATCGAGGCGCCAGACAGAAGACAAGATCCAGTCACAGTGCGGGCCGAAGCACACCAACAGGCTCCTTTCGGCGTCTCCAAAAAAAAAAAAAAAGAAAAAAAAAAAAAAAAAAAAGAAGAAGAAAGAAAGAAAAAGGAAAAGAAAAAAAATTCATATCATTCCTCTCCTAAACACATTTAAAACTGCCGCTCAATTCCACATAGTGATCCTTGCTTGATTGCGTCTAAAATAGTTTAAACGGGTCTTCCCTTCTGGGGAGAGCAGGGCGCAAAAGACCAAGAAGGATAAAAAGCCAACTTTTCCCCCCCACGCCAGGCACTTGCTCCCTGAGCCTCGGAGTGGAGAGTGAAGTGGTGTGTGCGAGGCTCGGCAAGTTTTTGGGGGGGCTGTCCAAGGTCTAGTCCAGCCCCCTCTGCCGAGGAGGACGTGCTCTGAAACTCAACCAATTTCCCCACTGCTTTTGTTACTGATGAACTGAAGCCCTATTGTTCATCCATTGCCACGGTCTTTTTCAGTCCCCACACTACGTTCTGCGTTGCCAGAGATAATGAATTTGCACCCAAACCTCTCATAGTCCCCTCCTGACAGACGGAACAAATTAGAAATGTCTCGTCTGAAGGAGGGCAATGGCTACATTTTCCTATTGTAGGATGCAAAGCACACATTTCTTTAGAAACTTCTTTTGCCTTTTCTACCTTTTATTATTATATTTTCTTTTTCCCCCTAAATTTTTCCCTTGTTGGTTTCTTAAGAGACATTTTTTTTTTAAAGAATCGCCTAGTCTTGTTTTTCCAATGCAGCATTTTGTGTAACTTGCAGGCTTTTTACCTTCCTTCCTCTTTCCACTCCTTTAAGGGCTCCCTTTGCAATTTTATTTACAAACTTGGAGAATGACCTTTTGACTTGCAGACTTTTTTTTTTTTTTTAAAGAAAGGTCTTTTGGTTCAAGTCCCCTTCGCCTCTCCTCCCCCTTTTTGTTGTGGTTGTTAAAAGAGTTTGGCTAAAGACAAGCAATACATTATAAGGATTTTTATTCTCTAAACTCCTATGCTATTCAAAAGGTACCAACGACGCGCCATAGGGGTTATATATTTGAGGAAGAAAAAGCGTGTGTGTGTGTGTGTGTGTGTGTGTGTGTGTGTGTACACGCGCGCGCGCGCGCGCGTTCCTTTTCCAGGGACAGACAGAGATGTGGGAGGATGGGGATGGAAGTGTGCAGAAAGGGTGGGGGCTTTCAGGGAGGGCTTCCTGCAACACTAACCGGAGGCCGTCAGGGGTGTGGGCGTGGGGGAGGGTGGCGGGAAAATGGTGCAGGAATCCATCCCGCTGACTGCTGTGCGCCCCCTGGGCCCAGTTGCGCGCCCTGGGCCGGCCGAAGCCTACAGCGAGTGTTTGCACGCTGGGGCGGTTGTTCCGAGCTTGCGCGCGTGCGACCAGGGGCCGAAAGGTGGGGAGAAGGGAGGGAGCGCTGTAAAAATTCAGACAAGTAGCCCGTATGTAAATGCAGCCCGCAGTTGGGGGGAAGCGAAAAGGTAGTAAAGAGAGTGAGGGCACACGGCCCCACCGGCGGGCCCCCAGCTTTCCCGCCAAGTGCAGCGGGAGGACAGATACCCCTGCGTGTCCTTGGCGGGATGGCCCCCTGCCCGCTGCGCGCACCCGTTCCCCGCGCACACGCACACACTCCCCTAGCAGGCGTGGGGCCCCGTGGCCACAAGCTCATTAAGAAAACAAAGCTGAGGCTGCAAGGTGGAACTAGAAAACCGCAGCCTTGGCGGCCGAGGGCAGGTCAACATCGCGGCATTTGGCGCCCCTTCCTAGACTGCCTGCGGCTTTAAACAAGGGACCAGAAGACGCAGAAGACCAAGTCTTAGCTACGTGGAAGAGGCTCGCGAAACAGTGAGGGGGCGAGTATGCACCAGGAATTACCAGCGGCCCCCGCCCGGTGCGCGGGCACGCTGACGCTGGCGCACGTCGCGCAAGGAGGGGAGCCGAAGGCCTCCTAGCTGCATCTCCAAGAGCCACTATCTCCGCGCCGAGACTGCCAAGCCCCTATGAAAAACACCAGGCCAAATCCATCAAGGCAGCGGTCTTGAAATAGCTCGCACTTCGAGTTTCCTTCCCCAGACAAAGCAGTAGGAAGGACTCGGCTGTTCAAGGAAAGCCTTTTGGGGGCCTCCCCTTTCAATGGGATGAACTCGAACCCCAGCCTAGAAACTCTGGCCTAGATAGCTCCGCAGATAAGTTCCAGATGTGGCGTTGGAAAGATACTGATCTGTCATCCCACAGTGCATACCTCAGCAACACAAGCACCTCCCAACACGTGAACGCGCGCGAGCGAGCGCGCGCTCACACACGCTCACACACACACACACACACACACACACACACACACACGACACTCCCATCACATTAAAACGCGCGCTCCTGGCACTGCTGTTACGAAGCCGACGCGCATAATGAGGTGAACAGGTAAATAGATGCCAAAACGAGACGCCCACACCAGTCGGCTGGGCAGTTTACCTCTCCCTACTGAGAACATGTGTAGCTTATAGTGTTTTAGGAGTGATTTGCTGTTGTCTGTTGTCTCCCCCTCCTCTTCTTGTGGAAAGAAGAAAAAAAAATTAAATCATATTCCATTGTCAGAGCCTTCTTCCTGATAAGCTACCCAAGCAATGGTCTAAAACACTTGGGGATTCGTTTGGTTTGCTATCTGTTGTTTTCGTTTGTTGTTGGGGTGTGTTGTTCTTCTGAGTAGAGCAAAAGAATGTGTATGTGGTGGGGCTCTAGGCGCAGGACCAGAGTCCGCCGGCATGGCGGGAAGGCTGGCAAGGCTGTGAACCGCGCGATGCGGAAAGAAAGCAGCGGTTCGTCCTCCCCTGAGGCTGGTACCGGCCCTATTGGCACCTCGAGCCTGGGCTAGGTCGCCGCTGCCGCCGCCCGCACTTGCGGGCTCCGCCGGCTGCCGCTCCGTGTTTTCCCCCATCCCGGCTTCACGTTCAAGGTTTAGCTGCGAGGTCACGTCCATTGACGTCAGCTCCCTGTCTGCCTCTACGTCCGGCTACATTTACATACATCAAGGAAATTAGGGCATTAAAAAAATATGCAAATCCTGCGCGAAGAGGAGCGAGTGCATTCCTGGCGCGATCGCCTTTTATTGAAGCTTTTAATTAAAGGGGCCGGTTGTCGAGCCCCTGAAACAACCGCCAAAACCCCCAAAAGAGAAAAATAAACGCTGTAGCCTTCGGGAACGGTTGTTTCGGCTCCTGTTCTGTGGGCGGCTGAGGACCGCCGGCTGCCCGGCTCGGAGAAGAACAGGTTAGAGGAGGCAGCTCCAGCCCATGCATAATCAGGGCTCCGCGGCGCCTCCATTCTTTCCTCCTCCTCCTCCTCCTCCTCCTCCTCCTCCTCCTCCTCCTCCTGTTGGTTCCAGCGTGTATTATTTTTAATACTGATGCATATGTAAAGATATATTTGCATTTTTAATTTGTGAAAATTTCAGGTTGTATCGTTTTATTGATTCCCCTCCCCCTTTTTGTTGCTATTTTGTTATGTCTATCTGTCTCTGTTGTCCCTGTCTGTATTTTTTTTATTTTTTTATTTTTTGGCGAGTGTCTGCTGCTGTCTTTTGCTAGATAATATACAACAGTTGCCTCCCTGCTTCTGTTTATTTAAGGTTACAGATATGCACATCTGTCATGTATGCAATGCCAGCTGTAGTTTGGTCATAAAAGAAAAGACACATTTTTTTTTCTTTCTTGACATACCCCTCCATTGACTATAGGTCCCATCATTCAAAGCTCAAAGTTTGATTGTCTAATTAACTTCACATAGCAGAAATACAGTTCAGGACAGTGCATTTGAGATAATCTATTTATAAATGAAGTGATTTTAATGATTCTAAGGAATTTTGTGCTGATTAGAGATGCGGTATTCACTGCCCTATTGCTTTCTAGCACTTATTATTTTTAAAATCTATTTTAAAATGTGTAGACACAGCAATGGACAGCCTTCTGCAAGGAAGACATTTTCAACCATGTTGTATGTTGTACCATATCTGCTGCATTCAAAATTTACCGAATTTCATTTTTATTTTAATATGAAAGCACACTATCTTGATTGAAAAGCATCCTTAATTCCTGAGTTTGAAATGAAAACAAATACACAAACAAAACAGTTGACTATGTTAAGTCATTTGTTCTGCCCTAAAATATACAGGCCTTGAGTTGGATTTCAAGCAATAGTAGTCTCGTTTAGAGGATGAGATTTTCCTTCCTGGCAATATAGCTATTCAGCATGATGGCTTTTGTATGTATGTGTATGTGTGTGTATGTATGTGTGTATGTATATATGCATATGTATATCACATTAAGAATTCCCCCAATGCTATCATATGAAAAGACTCAAATTCATAATTGCTTAGCCACAAAGAACAGAAAATATGCACACATGCAGCTTATTAAATTAGACAAGTCCAAGTACATGCACAGGTAATTAGTTTTCTTATGAATGACTTACCTGCACAGATACTCAGGGCGAGACTCAGCCCTCCCCAATGGCTTTTATGTGTAAATATTCACATGTATTTTCCCCATTTGAAACCTACAGCTGTATGCCATCTTTCATGCTGGACTCTCCAGCATCCATTTTTAGCCACCTTAATTCTTATGGCATTTCCAGCCTTACCTCAAGCTGTAGTTTTTCCAAGCCTACACCAAAGTGCTCATATGATATGTCACCCAATAAAAAGTGGTCAGATAGCTTCGTGTAAAACACTAAAAAATGCAAACACATTCATCTTTCACATTCGCCCTTACCTTGTCATCTATATATAGCAAAATTACATTTCCTAAAATATATTTTCAGCATATTTTGTGAATAATTGCAGGAGTCCACAACTGCTTACAGAATTACTGGTTTACTGGTGGGGCGGGGAGGGGGGTGCACCTGGCTCAGTGAAACAATTCGGCAGACTTAATGTCTCTCTGAGTTTGGCAACAATCAAATTGTGTGAGGCTGTTTGTTCCTGCCCGGATTCTAGCATGTACCTGCCCGCCTCTATGCATGAGCAGGACAAACACACCGGCCACGTTGCAGAACATAGAGTGTCGGTGCATATATTTAAATGGCAGTAGCAAGGAATATGTGCAGGTACGGCTGTCTGAACATGCATGTGTGTACAGATGAGTGTGTGCACGCGCGCGCTGTGTGACAAGGGACACAGGGAGGTACATCTCTTATCTCTGATCTCTCTGTAATCTCCTTTTCTGTTTCTAATCTCCCTTATTGGCGCATGGTAGTAACCCGAAGCGTGTGAATCGTCACCGTCGCTGCCGTGTGCGCGCTGTGGCTTACCCCGAGGGCCCGTGGTTTGGTGGCTCGCTGGCTTGATGGATGTTGTGGCAGAGGGTGGGTAGCGCCACTGCCGCCGCTGCCGCGGGTCCGGGTGCTCTGTCCCAGCCCAGCATCCGAGCGCGCGGTGCCGGAGCCCCCTCCCACCAGCCCTCACCCCCATCCTCTTCTTCCCTCCCCTCTGCGCCTCCCCCACCCCGCCCCACATTACCATATGGAGGCCGAGTCCCTGCGAATCACAGCAGCAGCGGGCGGTATTTGAATAAGCCCCGCACCAGAGCAGACCCCAACTCCCCCACAAGCTGCGTGTCCTGCACCAAAGGCCAACACTTCGGCCAGTAGCTGGCAGCGACCGACACCTCCCTAAAGTGCCCTGCGCGCGCAGAGGAGAGGGCCAGATAAGGGTGCTGGGCCTCCCACTTGCTACTTTTATATTAACTTGACTGATAGAATCAGACAATAAATTAGAAAAGAGAGAGGGAGAGAAAAGAAGAGAGGAGAGGAAAAGAAAGGAGGAGTGGCACTGTAGAGGGGAGAGGAAAGACAGGAGAGAAAAGAAAAGGGAGCGAGAGAGTGAAATGAGGACGAGGTGGGAAATGATGGGAAAAAGAGAAATACCTAAATATCTGAATCTGGACTTTTTAAGCTAAAAATATCACCTCACTGAACTTCACAACTCCAATTAGACGAGTCGGTCCCTCCACGTCACCCAATGATTAGTTTGCCATCTCAATCAGAAATAATTATTTAGAACTGTGTAACAGACATAGAACTTAACAGAAAGGAGCTAATTTTATGAAACGAAGCAAAAGGCATGACATTCAAAAATGATATTGGCCACCTCCCGTTAAAAATTAAGGCTTGCCTTTAAAGACTTAGACTTATGCAGGAATATCCTCAGAAACAGTAAAATAGAGGCCCAGAATCCAGAAAATAAAAATGTATTCCAATATAGTGTGGACATTGAGATCCCCCCTAGTTTGATATGTTATGCTTTTCCTCTTTACGAATATATTACTTTTACCAAAAATACACTTAAAGTGGGGGTCTTTAAAAAATTACTGCAAATTTTTGACTGAACATATTATTTTAAACGTTAGCTTAAATACATAGGCAGTTCTGTTTTGCATAACAAGAGCTTATGAATTTAGCATGTTCAGTGCCGCCTCCTCCTCCCTATCTTCGAATCATAGCACTCATTTCCCTATACAAAACAATCAAAATCATAATAAAATTTCCAGTCATCTATAGAATGTATCCATTGTAAATATCCCTCTCGGTATTCATAAGCCAAACGCCCTCCTTTTGAAACACACACAAAAAGAACGCCACTGATTAATAATCTCTTATGCGGCATACTGAGGCCAAAAGAAGGGAGCCGCAGGACGCCAAAGAAGTATCAATACCTAGAATTTTAATACAGATTCCAAAGAGTTGCTGACCGCTAGATTTCTTCCAAAGGGGATTAATACTTGGAGAGCAATGCTTTGGGGGAAGACCACCACATTCCAATTGCTGACTCCTTCCTGGTTCAGGGAGGGGGCTGCAGTCACAGTTACCCGACATCTCAACCCGCATATGTGTGTACAAGATGGTATGTATCTTACGCATGCACCCAGGCCCCGGTTTCTATCTTTTTTCTTCTTTTATTTATTTTTACATTTTGGGGGCAAGAATATTGAAAACAATCCACCCTTACTGTGACTAGCTCCCACGAAGCTAGGATTTCAACCTCTTTTTTTAAATTTTTTTTTTTAAATTTTTGAAGCTAATGTAGAACCCAAGTCGAATTCCCCAGCTCGGGGGTTTACCAGGATGTGCTCATTACCCCACCGTCGCCCGTGGCACCTGAAGAGAAAGGAGGGAGAGGTTTCCCGCTAAAGAAGCCGGTTTTGAGCCGCTTCCGTCGGGGGCAGCGTTTCTCCCCAACAGAAGCGCCTCTCTCTCTCTCTCCCTCTGAAGGCACTCCCTTAGGCCGACTAATGTCGCTGCGGTCGTGGCCAGGTGAGCCAGGGCACAATTCCTAAAAGGTGGGTGGAGGGAACGGCCCTGACTCCTGAGATCTAGTGGGTCATGAACCCACCCCGCGCGGTGTGCTGACAGGTGCTGGGGGCCAGAGCGGGGCTCCTGGCTCCAGCCAGCGGGGAAACAGCGACACCTACTGGCCTCATGTGCACTGCGCCTGGGCCGTCGGGGGCGACCCTGGGTGGCAGATGCCAGGCCATATAGACCTGGGAGGCTGTGGAGACCTGTGCCCAAGGCTCTCAGGACCTACGCAGGCTTTGCTCGCCCCAGAAAAGGCAAAGCGTCAAATTTTAGGAACTCCCTAAGGGAACTCTACAATGGGGCTGAACATAATGCGCACACACATGCCATCTAGCCGGGGGTCCTTTCTTCAGAATTGGAGAAACCTACAGATGCAGTTGGCCACTATCCCTTGATTTTATGAGACCCTTGCATAAGTTGGAGATCTGATTTCCTTGGGTTCATGACCCAGGCCTCTTCACCACCATCCCATGGCAGCACTGACTAAAGACGCTATCTTCACAAATGTCGAGGGCACCAGGCTTGCGAATTGGTTGAGTCCTCCCACGGGCCAGTTTAGGGCACTTTTAGCGTTTCTCACTACCTCCAGGGATTGGGATTTGGCAGCTATTCTTTAAGAATTATGATCTCATTAATTACTCCTAAAGTAAAGGCAAATTGGAGTGTTGGGGATATTTTCGAGACCTGACTCTGTGTGTGTGTGTGTGTGTGTGTGTGTGTGTGTGTAGGATATATATCAAAGTGGATTTTCTATTTATCAATTGTGTATGTACACATACACATATCCTACTGAATGCCTTTCGTATAGGAGAGGGTTAGAAAGGATGATAGACAAGTCCTGGGGAAAACCTAGCAAGGATGAGGATGGAAAGAAACCAATTCGTGTATTCCAGATTTTCTTAGCCTTCTGAGTCTTATCTGTAAAAACAAATGGCCATTTTATACAAAAGAAGATGTCTTGTAGGTGGTCCTAGTATGAGTTGGAGAAGAGAGGGACCTCAGGTTCCCTGAGTCCCCTATTATACCTTTTCCTGTGCCAATCTCTGAGGCTTGCTTAGGCCCCAGAAACCTGCTTGAGTGATTCTGATATTAAATTGCTCAAATATTAAAACATTCTTTCCCCTCAAAAGATTGGAGTATTTGGATTAGTCTGAATCCTTTAGATTTCCATTTAAAATATTACTCATTAATAAATCCCAGAATTTAGGAAAAAAGCAACTTTTCACTCAAAGTTCAAGAGTTCATCTTGGAAATTATTTTACTTAACTTTAGATACTGTTGAAACTAGATTCTAAAGTGTTTTGAGTAGGAGTGTGTGGGGGAAAACCTTATTAGGACTAAATTTTTGTTTTCCTCTCTACAATTGCATAAGTCTACTAATTGTATTTTATTTAAATAAAATTAGAAGCTCTTAGTGACCCTAAAAGTCAAGAGTTTTATATCATTCTTCTTCCTCTTTTATTGCTAAAAAAAAAATACCTCTAAAAGTCTCAAGAAGTCTGTTCCTCAATCCAGCTTCATATGTATTTTTTCTTTTAAAAAATTCCTGCTAGTGGATCCAAATGTGTTCTGATAATACATGAATTCATATCCTAGGACAGACCCTTAGCAGTTTCTATGATGGGTAAATAAATCTGTAGTACTAATAATGAATAAAATTGGCATTTATTTCAATGACTTCTGCACACCACTGCATATCATGGTCAACTTTCTCCTTGAAAAATGAAAACCTTCATAGGAAAGGAAAATTATTACAGAAAAACTAAATTACACTGGGCATGCAACAAGCAGCCATCAACCAAACCCATTTCAAAGCTTTATTTGAAATTGAAAGCATCTTGAAAAATGTTGAATTTTTCCTTTCCTTTTGAATTTTTGGAATGTATTTTTATTTGTCATTCCAAAATCTTAGCTAGAATGATTTCTCATGGTTTGACTCTAAAAATTGTTGATTTGACATTTGGCATTAAATAATATAGAAAATAGAATTTGTGTATCAAAAATGGCGGAATTTCTCTGCATGTTAATCACTCCCAAAGCATTAGTGTTCTAAGCCCTTGTTAAAGCAATGTTCTTGATTTAGAATATAAAATTAGGTCAGTGGAATGGTTTCTTATTTCACCAAAAAATGAGTATATATTCTCTATACAAATATGAGTATATATAGAGAATATATGGTTACTATAGTAATTGGGTGTGTGAAATAAGGATGGAAACAAGGCTTTTCGGTCTAATTAGGTCTCCTTTGACATTAAAATCTTTTAATTTCTCTTATTTAGCAAGAGAATTTAAAAATTAAAACAGGTTGACCTGTCATTAGACTACATCTGAGTCCTTTGTCACACCTGCCCTCCCTGGGTCTGGGCTTGCTGTGGAGGGTGTGTGTACTTCCTTTCCTGCTTGTTGAGTAGCATGAAGGAAGGAAGGGATACAAGAAAGGGAATATTGATCAGAAAGGCACATGATTGTGTGTGAAAATGAGATGGATAAACTTGAAACCTGACTAAATCCCCAGTTAGGTGGTTGTCCAGGGAGGGAGCACTAGTGTATGGACCCTCGCAATCTGGTTGAAGGAAGCTTTTGGGGAGACAGACTCCCTGCCTTTGGAGTGGCCTCCTTTTTAGCCTCAGTGAAATCTGCAGAGGTTTACTGATGTTTGACTTCAGGGAGTAGAGCTCCAAGGACACCTGTGTGCATCTGGAGATTGGTAGAGAAAGAGAGAGAGAGAGAGAGAGAGAGAGAGAGAGAGAGAGAGAGAGAGAGGTGGAAAACATTTTATTTAAAAAAAAATTGAAAAATATTTGTCCTAAAATCCTGCCATGTCATCAGTTGGGACCAGGCACCAAGGTCACTAACATGTCCAGGTTCACTCACAGACAGCGGCAACATTATTGCTTTTGATGGTACGAATATGGCTTCTTTCGTTTCTCTGGCTCTTTATGAATACTTTTGAGTGGGGCGAGGCTCTCGCTTCCCCCTCCTCCCTTCTTGATCACGGAAAACAAAACCATTCTACCACTAGAGCCATCTGCCGCAGGTGTAATGGATGGCAGGGGGCCGACCTAACTACACTTCAGTCTCTTCTAGGTCGACACCGCT